ATATATATATATATATATACATATATAAATCCCTGATTCCCACCACTACGTCTCCCAACAAGCACTAACTGTCCTATAGTTTGGTGACCGGCTGCCTGAAAAGGGTGAGGAAGTCCAGGGGGCAGAAGTGGTGCTGGGCTGAGAACCAAGCCCTGGTCTGCCGCTTACTTTCATGACCTCGGAAGACATCACCCAACCTCAGCATTAGCTTCCTTCTCTAAAAGCAGCCACGCCAAGGATGTCAGCGGATTGGAAAGTGGTTATGGCTGGCTATGAGGCCACTGGACAGGGAAAGTCAGGAGGTGCGGTTTGGGGCTGGCCTTCTCCGAGTGCTCTTGGGAGAACAAGCCTGGACGCTGACTTGGAAGACAGAGCAGGATGCTGGGAACTTTGGAAGATGTGTGTGCAAGAAGGTTGCGTGTACCCGAGGTGAGAGGCGGTCTGGGCAGCACAAGGTGGTTTCAGGGTTTGTGGACACTGCTGCTGGGCTGGAGGACAGAGGTGCTCACCCTCGTTCTGTGCCCTGGCCTCGGCCATTCCCCATGTCAACCCTCTCTTAAACCTCCCTCCTTCCCTCCCAATTAGGAAACTGTTCAGTTGGGGGAGCAGGAGGGTCAGCTACAGCAGCCAGCACCCCTCCCCGGGACTCCCTCTCTGGCTGGCTCCACCCCTCCAGCCACCACCCTGGGCAGAGGCCTCCTCCGCTCCACCCCACAACACCCAGAGCTGACTTCCGGCCCTGGAGGCGGCAGCATCCGGAATCCAGCAGGAAGGGTGCAGGGAACCCCGCCCAAGCCCAGGGTGGGCTCAGAGATCCACACAAACCAAACTCTCTGTCCACTTTATATATATATACATCTACAAGCACGCCCCAGCCGCACTCACGAGGCCTGGAGAAGGGCCTTCAGTCGTCCATCTTTGGCATCAATCTGTCAAAATCAGCTTTTCGGTACAGACTGCTCGCTCCTTTCTGTACAACATGAATTAAATATATTATCTGTCTTTGTGCTGAGTCACAGGACATTCACAGTACAGTGGGGGAGGAAGGGAGGGACTTGTGGGGAGGCCAAGACCCTCCAGGGCTGCCCCTCAGGCTGAGGGGTCGGGCTGGGCAGGGGTCTTGTGTAGCAAGGCCGGGCCTGGCCTCCTCTTGGCCTTGCCATTCGAGATTCGGCCAAGTGTTGAGGGGACCTTGGGGATACAACAGGCGTGCTCTGAAGGGGTGGTGAGGGCACCTTCTTTGGGGCTGCGGCCCCTCATACTCTCAGCCTCTCAGGATCAAAGCCTGTGCGTTCTATCCCACCTTCCTCCACCTCAGACCGTGGCATTTACACCCTACCCTCTGGGGAGAGGGGTGGGCAGAGGTATGGGGAGGCTGGTGCCAGGATTGGGTGGAGCATGGATAGGGACACAGGGGTGGCAAGGAGGGAACGGGGGGGGGGG